AAGTTTTAATTTCTTGAAACAGCACTCAAATCTTTTTGTAATCTCAGTAAAAAACTCCTGGAGATGTTTAGCATTTTACATTAGCAATTTCCTCAACTTCCAGCCCTAAAAATTGAATACTTCTATATTTATTTATATATATATTAATGTAAATATTCTTATGTCTTATTATAAACCAGAATATATACTATAGCTTCAAAAATGAAAATATTTTTACTCTCAGAAATGTGGCATAAAGTCACGACATCTGAGCACAAAAAGTAATTAAAACAATTAAAAGAATGGCTTACATTGGAGGGGACCTTCGAGATCATTTAATTCCATGCCTCCTGCCATGGGCAGGATTGTCAGCCACTGGATCAGGCTGCCCATGATCCCATCCAACTTGGCCTTCAGTGCCTCCAGAGATGGGAAATGCAGAGCCACTCTGAGCAAACTGTTACAGAGAATGGATGAGTGCAATCATCATAAATCACAGTCAAAATGAAAAAATAAAAATATAAAATAATAATAATTTAAAAACCCCACATGTGCATCAGTGGTGTTTGTTGTATGGTTCATTATTATGTTCCCAGTGCCTGCTTTCAACCCTGTTCTTTTGAGAAGTAAAAGCTATTGAAGAACTATGTTTTTGCAACTAGGAGAGTCTTCTAGGATTTACCACCATTTCAGTCTTCTTACTTTACTGTACTTAAATACTCAGAGGATAAAATGAAAGGTTTGATTATTCAGTTGGGTAGAATACAGTGTGTAAAAGCTCAGTTGGATATTAGAGGAATGTGCAAAAATAACTGGTTTTTTTTTTTGTTGTTGTTGTTGTTGTTGTTGTTGTTTGTTTGTTTTTGACAGAGGAGAGGGTTGAGACTAAATACCCAAAGATCAGAAGAGGAAAGAATTTTAGGTTGCATGAAAAGTTGATGGGGAAAAAAAGACAGAGAAGGGTAATTTCTTATTTGGGTTTCCAGTTGAAAAAGTGAGTCTTTACTCTGTATAAGTATGTAGATAAGGAATACCACAAGTGATTTGTAAGAAACATGAAAGTGTGAGGCATCTCCAATTAATGAAGAGCATCGAAGATTTAAAAAAAAAAAAAAAAAAAAAAAGCACTTGAAAAGCACTACTAAATTTGTGTGTTAAGATATGAAACAGAGCGCTCCTTGATGAAGGAGTAGGAGGAAAATAGCTGTCTCTTAGTTTTGTTAGTGTTAATCATACTCTTTTCATCATACTGTTTTCTGCAATCTATGGTATTTCCTTGCCTTCTGCAGCACTGACTCTTTGACAAGTCCCTAGGTTAACGCTGATGTGATCAGTCATTTAAATGTGGCATGTGTGGAGCAATTGTCCCTTTTTCTTGCATAACTGGAGATGTTGTTTATAGCTCTGTTAAACAGAGCTCCATGAACTCCACTTCAGCCCATTGTGCCTGAACACATGTGGCACAGTCATAGCTATGAAACAGAACACGTGGACAATGTTTTAAGTGCTAATTCTGTGGCATTATAGTCTGTTTCTCACACCAACTTTGTAGAATACTTATACTGCAGCAAGCAGATTTCTATTAAAATTTTCACCAGGAGTTAAAAAAAACACGTATTTCAAATTAAATGTCAGTCACACTGGAAGAGGATGACAGACTGTAGAGCTTACAGTCAAGAATGATTACCAACTCTTTTGTGTCTACAAAGTGGCAAATTACAAATTTAGTACATTTTGCACTTGGAAATAATTTACATGATAATCTTTATTCATAATGGAAGGAATTCATCCAATGAAGCTAAGGGATTAATTCCAGGAGCATATTTGGCCCAATTTATTCAGACAGTATTAGAATCATAGAACCATAGAATTGTTTGAGTTTGAGAGGTGTTCCATCTGTTGGAACATGCTCTCTGAACATGCTTCAACAGGTCTATGTCTCTCCTGTACCGAGAGTTTCACATCTGGATGCAGTATTCCAGATGAGGTCTCACCAGAGCAGAGCAGAAGGGCACGATGACCTCCCTTGATCCACTGGCTTCTGCTGGTGCAGCCCAGGATACATTTGGCTTTCTGGGCTGGACGCGTTGCTAGCTCATGTCCGACTTGCCATCCACCAGGATCCCCAAGTCCCCTTTTCGGCAAGGCTGTACTAAATCTTTTCTTTTTTACCAAATCTCCTAGCTTGTACTGATAGTGGGAGTTGCCACAACCCGTACTGCAAGACCTTGCACTTGGATTTGTTCTCCTAGATCCACTGCTCAAGCCTGTCTGGGTCTCTCTGAATGGCATCTCATCCATCAAGCCTGTTGACCTCACAACACAGCATGATGTCATCCACAAACTTGTTGAGGGTGCAGTTGATTCCACTATTAATGTCATTGATAAAGATTCTGAAGAACATCCATCCCAGCACTGATCTCTAGGGGACACCATTCATCATTAATTTCCATCTGGACACTGAGCCATTAACAATCACTCTCTGAGTATGGTTAGAATATGGGTGTTGTATTCAAAGAATAGATTTTTGCATGCAAATATAAATTATGTTTTATAAAAATTATCAAGTATATTTTTCATGAGTCCATTTTAACAAGAACATTTGGACTAGCTCCTACTACCTAGGAATCTATTTTCTCTGTTAGAAAAAAGACTTCAAAATAGCTTACTTTATTTTTTATTGAATTGTTTTTCCAATGTTACAATTATTTGTTTTCGCTGTTAAGTATTTACTGTCATATTATCGTCTGTATTCACAGCAAACCTCACGAACTCCTTTAAAAGTAGGAAAAACAAAATGGACTTGTGCTCCCTAAGATTTCTGAAATATTAATTCTAGCAGGAAATAAGAAGTTCATTTTGCCTGTTAATATTGTTGAAGCTTTCCTTCTAAATGCATAATATAGAGATAGCACTAGAAGGCATTATTGTGCCTTCCATTGGGCTTAGTCTTTCTTAGTAGAATCTAATCTTAATTATATCTCATGATACCTATTCTTCAAAAAAAACTTAAGCATAAAATGACACTTGTCTATCTTCCTCTTCCCTCTTCCCCCCCTCCCTGCCCCCCCATCCCCTTGAAGAGATTCAGTGGAGAGTGGTGTGCTCTTTTTTATCATTTTTGGATAGTAACCAGTTTTTCATCACTGGCATTCATCACTGATTTGTGCCTTATAATTTTTTTGCAAATTTTTCTCTTCTCTTCCTCTTTTGTCCCTCATTTCTCCTCTTCCCCTCCCCCTTTCCTCAAGACAAATGATTCAGGTCATCCTTTGAGTCTATTCTCTCTTCCTCTATTATAAAGACAGTATAGACACCTTAAATAATCTACTTAATTTTTAAATAGTTAATAGTTGTGGAACTGTATTAGACTCTGATTTCCCTAGTATAGTTATTATCTGAATTCTGCCCTCTTTCCTTTACTGCCATATTAGGAATGAGAGGATATAGTCTGACAACTTTAATTTCAACAAAATGATATGTATGTAGAAAAAAAAACACCCACATTTATTTGCTTTAATAATATGACTCATTTGGCACTTTGATCAGAAGTTTTTGTTTTTTTCCTCATCAAGCAACTGTTTGTGCAGTGCAGTAGAATTAACCTATCAAATACTTTCATGAGCAGTAGCAGATTTGATAGCAATTGTGTCCTTTTAATGACATTCTTTTTATTATGATTATTAAATATATTAGATTATATCAAGGCTGAATCTTAAAATGAATTACAGGAAAGGAAAATCTTTACATATAGTGCGCTAGCCTTCGAAAGTTAATGTTTATGATCATTTATTAACACGTTGAATTACGCACTGTCTTCTTACATGTCTTCCTTATGGATTTTCACTACACTGCTATTACATTCATTAATAAATTCAAGCAAAAATTAAGTCAGTGACATTTTGGTAGCATAAATAAGGGTAGATCAGGAGCAGAATAACATAACAATCTATTTAATTTCAATATGTTAGTCAGTCATCTAAATAACTATAAGTTTTTCTTTTTGAACAGAGTATGCAATAATGGAAGCATATCTGAATGTGGAAGTAATATCAGAGATTACTTTTAACCCTCATTCAGAATCAATATATTGATATGTCAACTTCTTCAAATGTTCTTCAATCTGAACAACAGAATTTGCAACAGAATCTGAGTTTATATGTGTGTTAAATATGTATATTAAATGTACATATATTTATGTACATTTATGTACATAAATAAATAAATATGTACATAAATAAATAAATATGTACATGGCTGTTATTCATATTAATATGAAAGTTACTCTGTTAGTCTTTACTAGGTAAGAATCATTTACTGTGATCTTAAAGAAATTCTATTTGTTGCTCTTTTAATAGATTTATTCCAAGCTCCTTTTTATTATCTATGCTCATACATGGACTCGCAAAAGTTAAGGAGTCTTTATGCTTCTTATTAGCTTAAAAAACAAGCTGCCAGTAGTTGGGTGCATAGCAATGAGAAAAGGCTGTAGGAACTTCTCATGCACTGTTCACATTTGTGTATAAAATAGCAAATATTATTTTGACTTGAAACTGAATTACTTAAGTGAGTGCCTCATTACAGCTATTTTGTGAAATGGAGAGCCCAAGGAATTGGTGTAACTTCTGGCTTCTGGACCCTTTTTGTGCTCCAGCGAAGGATCTTTTGTATTAACCATTCTTTTTCTCTCTTCCATACTGCCCTTGACCCATACACATGAAAAATCAGAATAATGATCTTGCATTATCCCTAGGTACATGTTGATTGTCAGTCAGTATTTCATAAAGTACACTGAGATGTTGAGATGGAAGATGTGTGGCACTGATTTGCAGGAAAACTACAAACAGAAAAACACACCACCATTCTGGTGGGATGTTCTTTGCTGATGAATATAATGAGCTATTTAAAAAATGTATGTAAATAAAAATAGTTTAGCTGGAATTATAATGTGAAAGATAAACTTTTAGATGCTTTGAGTTTAGAATTCAAAACTTAGTCACAACTGCTCTGTTTTTGCACAGGTAATAGATGTGAAACAAATACAGATGAATGTTTATCTACTCCTTGTCTAAACAATGGAAGTTGCATTGATGACATCAATTCCTACAAGTGTCACTGCAGGAGAGGTTTCATTGGAACAAACTGTGAGACAAATGTTAATGAATGCTGGCCAGATCCTTGTCTTCATGGAAGGTGACCATTTTTACTTAGTTATTATTATGTCCAAGATAAAGTACTTTAGTAGCAATATTTATAAATGATATTGTAATTTGTAATTACAGTATAATGTCATGGGAAGGTTGACAAATATATTCTTTTGCTATTTTTTCCATAAAGTAAGAGTGCAATTACACTTAAAGATTACAGATGTTGCCAGCTTAAGCTAATGTAGCATACTGTATTATTGTCTCAGTTCCTCTTTAATTTGTGTTCCACTAGCACAAACTGTTTTTTAGGAAATGTGAATTGGACTTAAATATTCTTGAAAGCAAATCCTTATTCATTACAAACCAGTAGATTGAAATAAGAAGGTGTCTTTTTTTATGACCCTTATAAAACCCCTTAGCACCAATAAAAGGCATATTTGAAACCCATTAGAAAACCTAATTAAAAATCCCATTGATTTCATTATTTGCGTCAGAGCAGTACTTTGAAATGTATGGAACAATACTGTAAGTGCGGAATCTATAATTACATAACTTCATCTGAATAATGCTATTTTGTATTTCAGATGTATAGATCTCATTGATGGATATCAGTGCTCTTGTGAAGCAGGATGGACCAGCTCAAGATGTGAGATAAATATTAATGTATGTCTTCAAATTTTATTTTATTATAAGGGAAAGGGTAATATGCTACTTAAAACTCATTTTTTTTAGGTAATTCCTGAATGTGTCCAGTTATTGAAAATGCATGACAGTCGTTCCAAGTACATTCCAAAAAGCCCGTTATTTGTTATTCATATGAAATGGCATTAGAAAGAACATTAACAATACGCCTAAACATGTGAATTGCCAGTGATTAATCTGAAAAGTAACAACAAACTATGCCAATATTCCCTGAAAATAATTTATTCTTTCAGTTTGGTGCAAAGACATAACTATCTTCTTTGTATTGCTATTTGCTGTAGCTTTGCATAGCAATGCCCAAGACACAGTTTTCTGTACTAAAAGTAGGCATGACTCATGCCATGAAGATTCCCATGCTCTGCGAACAACTTTGTAGAAGGTGACTACATCTGGCAGAACAATGAACAGCTCTTAGAAAATTGGCTACACTTTCAGGAAAGTATTACATTGATTCAGACTTTTTTAGGTTTTGCGCCAAACTGGATTTAATCAGATCTTGGTATTTTAAACATATTTTGTCTCAGAGAAAATATGGCTTGAGATTTCCTTCCCCTATGGGTTATTTGGCTTTTAATATTGTGCTTCTAAATTGCCAAAAACACATTCAAAAATGTCATCCAAGCTTCTTTTTAACTTATTTATGCATGTTAATCACAGTTAGAAGTACTAGATAACTAAAATGCCCTATATTACATAGAGGATGTCTATGGCTATGTCTCTAATTTTCCTGTTGAAAATACATAGCATTCACACGAAAGGAGTAAATCTGGCTGAAAGCTTATCTTTGAACTTCCTTCATAGAAAATAAAAAAAATAATAAAAAAAAGAGACAAAGTAATTCCACTCAGCAGAGTGTGCATCATGATATGATATTGCAGGTCTATATGATTATCAGCTCCTGCCAGTGCTAATACAGAATGCTCCTAGGTAATATTTTTTCTGGTAACATCCGTAATTTACACTTTCCTCCATTTTGAGAGAGTAAGAGATTAAATGACCTGTAGACAACTGCATAAAATCAAACTGAAAAGATAACCATATTTCATACTGATATGTTTGAAAATATATAGATTAGAAATTCTCAGAAAGAAACAGTATACATATGCATGTGATAATCTGTCAGAGTGATGAGTTCATTTCTTTTAATATTCATTCTATTTGCATGCACAGTGCCTCCCAGATTAGACTATGCTGGAGATGTCACATTTTTAAAGGTTATAATACTTCATTCATCCTCCTCAGATATATATAATGACTTTACAAGTCTTATAGAGATCAACAAGGCTTTCTGACTCAATAGAGGTGTGCAAATCATGATAGTCATGTTAGACTGGTGCTCTAAAATTGTTTTCCTCTAGACTGAAATCAGGCAGCGTTTCTGTTAAAAAAAATCAGATGTGAATCCATGTAAATATACTTCAATATGTTCTTCACTTGATGTATTTCACAGAATCACGGAATTGTAGTAGCTGGAAGGAACCTCTGGAGATCATCTAGTCCAATCCCTCTGCTAAAGCAGGTTCTCTGCAATTGGTTGCACAGGAAAGTGTCTAGGAGGGCTTTTAATATCTCCAGAGAAGCAGACTCTACAGTCTCTCTGGGCAACCTGTTCCAGTGCTCTGTAACCCACAAAGTAAAAAAGTTTTTCCCCAAGTTCATATGGAACATCCTGTGATTATTATTATTATTATTATTATTATTATTATTATTATTATTATTTTACACTTTCCAGTTCTGGCTGCAATACGGTTTCTTCTTGCAGGTCTTGGTTATGAGTGTCATGGATGTTTATTGTAGCCCTGATTTTAGGTCAACAAGGACTAACCTGCTGCCTTTTCACTGTTGTCTGTCACTGGAATATAATTATTAAACAACTAATCTATCTATCTCTCAATGCCTCTAATACTATGAAGCCTTTTAACTGCTTCATGAAGCTCAGTCACTTGTCATGAAAGGTCATATACATGTGTACATCTTGTGCAGGTACTTACCTCATTGCTAGCAGAAGGTTCAAGGCACTCAGTACAACCATCCACTTGAACAAGTCTCCTTTTTTACCATTTCTGGGCAAATGCATCAGACATCTCTGGGGATTTCCCTGAAGGGGCACTGGAATAGCCCTCATGCAAATGCCTATCACCATGTTAGCTGAAATCAAGAGTGCTTCCTCTGGTTGTGCACCTGCAAGCAAGGAAGAGTGCCATGCCTGCACAAACTGCTGTGACTGAGTGCCACTCCCAAATGAGAAGAAATTGGTCTGCCTTGTGTACTTCCTGCATGCCCTGCCTGCACAGACTAACAAGCCACATCTTTACTACTGTGCCCTGCTCTGTTTGCCTATTCTGTTCACTGCACTCCATTGCAGTTGCTTGGTATATGCAACTGTATAGGGTGTAGATAGCAAAGTCTTGCTTCGAGGGAACTGCAGACCTGGTCTGCATGAGAAGAGACCATGCTGGACACAGATGGTTCCAGCCATATCCAGCGGATCCATTGCAAAGTACAGCTGAGCCTGTCAGCCAAATTGGTGACCTACCTGTAGAAATAAAAATTAAAAAGTGTAAAAATTGCTGTGCAACAGAGAGCTCAGTGAGGAAGACAGTTTGAGAAACTATGTTGTAAACACCAAGATCAGAGAAGAAAAAGGAAGAAGTGCTCCAGATGCCAGAGCAGATATTCTGCTGCAACCCATGGAGAAAACCATGCTAAAGCATATACCCACACTGCAGCCCGTAGGGGACCGCATGCTGCAGGAGATGTATATGCTCTGAAGGAAGCTGCAGCCCATGCTGGAGCAGTCATGTGAAGAACTGTGGGCCATGGAGAGGACCCACTCTGGAAAGAAAGAAAAGTTTCATGAAAAAAGAGAAGCAGAGACAACAGCTATCTGTACCCCATGCCTCTGTGCTCCTCTGGTTTGGAGGAGAGGGCAGGGCATTATGAAGTTGAACCTGAACCTGGGAAGAAGAGATTGGAGGAAATACATTTTTAGGTTTTGCTTCTCACAGTCCTACTCTCATTAGTAATAAGTTAAATAATTTTCCCCATGCTGAGTCAGTTTTACTCATGGCAGTAACTGATAAATGATCTCCCTGTCTACATCTTGAACCATGAGCTTTTTCACCCTATTTTCTCTACTCATCCCATTCACAAGGGGGATTGAGACAGCATTGATTGGGCATCAATCAGCCAGGCATAATCAGCAACTAAGTTAATTTAAACAACCAATATGTGTACATTTCTATATATATTTCCCTAGAGATACAGGGATATTTTCCTTTTTTTTTTTTTTTTTTTTTTTCTCTTCTTTTTTTTTTTTTTATCTTCTGTATATGTTTGCAATTTAGTTTGCTAGAAAATGTATTCCAAGACTTCATCTTACGCAGTAGGCTATGGAGCTTGTTGGTACTCCTGCTTCTGTCTTGTAGAAGACTGTGATCAGGTGATCTGGGGAAGGACAGATCATTCAGTGAGAACAGATGAATGGGAATGAGGACTGCATTCTAGACTGTTTCTTTTGGATGGCTTTGCTGATATTTTCTTTTTCTTTTTCTTTTTCTTTATTTTTTTTTTTTTTTTTCCAAAATGTGAATATTGAGTTAAATCTATTGAGCTGTTCAGCTGATTTTGGAAGGGACAGTTTCACTTAGTGAGTCTAGACTCCACTGATTGTGGAGACTGGTTCTTAACCAACTTACCATAGATAAGCCAGAGAATAGAATCCCTTTCTCAGATTTCTCTGTATAACATATACATGTATGGCAAATATTGTTAAACATAGGAAAAGCCTTACATAGGTTGGATGTTCTAATTTGTGCTTGTGTTGGATTTTTTCAACTATTCATTACTTTCTACCTGTTGCAAATTAGTGTGAAAACTAAAATGGTTGAGTAAGTAGTTTCTTCAAAGAAGTTAAACAAGTGTAAACTTCCAAAAACAATGTAGCTTATGCTCAAGATGAAAGTAGAGAAATCCAAGAGCAGGAAAGAAGGAAGATAACCATTTGTTGCACAAAACACAGTGTGATTACCCACCCACATAGAAGTTTTTGCATTTTAATAAACAAATTGAAATTTGACTTTTTTAAAAAAATACTTTCGTAAAAAACTTTTTACGTTGAATGTGAATGAACAAAGATATACAAAATAGAAGTAATAAAGAGGGATACTAGTGAATGCAAATAGGACTAGAAAAAAAGAAGTTACAAGAACAGAGAAAAGCAAAAAAATAAATTGAACTGTGAATTGTGTTCTTGTTTTTTTTTTTTTTTATAAACAGGACAACTTCTGTTTGGCAGCAAAAAAATTTAATTAATATAGCAAAAGACTACTTCTATACTCAGAGGTTCTGGCAGTCTATAAAACTATCCCCAACATTCCTGTGGGATGTATAATTCAATTAGTTTATGTAAAGCTCACTAATAAATCATCCTATATACATCCAGCTGTAAAACATACAGGGAAATAAGTTGTTTTCTCACAATTCCCTGTGGATTTCTGAATTTACATTCTGTCAAGGCAACTGCAGTAACTGCAGGAAATCTAAGTGCCCTTGGATATCCCTAAAAAAAATCAAGCTGTCTAAAGTTAAAGTAACTATGAGAATAAATTCCCTTTTAAAACACTGGCTTTAGCTAGACTATTTCAGTCCAGCAGCAAAATAAAACTCCTTTGGGATATAGGCAAAAACTAAGTTTATGTGCTCAAGGGCAAAACCACATTTTTGCACTAACTAAACACTAATTTGCTGGTAGTTTTCATGGATTTAATTTGATTATTTCTGCAGTGGCTTTCTCAAAGGAAATTGCTATTATGTGAACAAATAAACATTCCTGTATGCTTTTATTTGCAATTATATGTGTTAATTGATAACTGGAGAGTTATGGTTTATCAAGAAATATTTTATGAAGGTAAATAAGGTCCATATGCTTTGGTTAATATATTTATTCTGTCCAGTATTATTCTACTTATTGGCCTTTTTTTCACTATGATAGATCCTGCTGTAAAAACTGAGAAGAAAGTCTAAAAAATATGGCTGAAAACATGCTTTAAAATTTTAATATAGGAATGAATAGGAAGCACTTAAATCTGTTGCATTTCTTAGATAAAATATATTTGAATTTTTCCAAGATTAATAAGTAAGAACTAGTTTCAGAAATGAGTATGAACAGTGATAAAAGTATCTCTACAGAAATGAAAAATTGACTGAAATTTGAGGCTGTTGTGTAATAGACATTAGAAACATCTATCACTCTTTCTAATTTCCAGACAGTTTCTTGCACTTGCAATAAACATGAATGAATAAATAAAGTGCTTTAAAGACGTCATCAATGCATTATTATTTCTCTCCTCAGGAATGTGAATCCGTTCCCTGCATTAATGGAGGTTCTTGTCAAGATTTGGTTAATGAATTTGCTTGCATCTGCCTGACTGGATACACTGGCAAGTTCTGTGAACTTGATATTGATGTTTGCAGGGAGCCTGCACTCAGCTCAGTACTCTGTCAAAATGGCGGTGTATGTGTTGATGGGCCTGGAAGAACTTTTCATTGCAGGTTAGTAAGAATATTGTCATTTAACATCTGTAGTTAAGGGACATTCATTTGCCAAGTTTTCAGAGCAGTGTTGCTGTATGCATTATGTGAACTTAATTGGGTTTGATAACACTTAAGGACATATTAGAAATGTTATTAAAAACTCAGAGTTAATTATTGCAGTTTTCTGCTGTGGCCTCATATCACTTTAGACATTTTTGAACCCTGAGCAAAAGCCACCATTTTCCAATATTGACACTGCAAGTATTTAGAAAAAAAAATCAAAATCCTTCACATTAGTGTTGTAGTCCTTTCCAGAATTACATGTGGAAACATGTAGCATAAACAGAACTTAATAATTTAAAACTCATGTTTATAGATGCATATCTACTCTTGTAATTTGTATTCAGGTATTAATTTACTGTAACATTTAGACAACAGGTAGTTTATGCATTATGTTTGCAAAAGCTTGTATCCAAAGAAATCTCCTGTGGTCCAAGATTATCATTATCTGGATACTGAAGGCTTCTGACTTCAGTGTATGTGTAATGTTATATGTAATCTTAAAGCTTGTGTAACTGTAGTATAGTAAAACTCCCTTAATATACGCAACAGATTTTACATATTGTTCTCTGTATCTAATAAATCCATCAACTCAGAAATGTTATCTAGGTCTCTAATCAATCTGCAGAAATATCAAATACTAAGTAAGTGTTTTATTAGTTCATTTAATAATGAAGTACAAATATTTTCCCTATGTAATTATGTACAATATCTGGATTTTTATTTATGTACAATAATGAAGCTTAATGTAGTTCTTTTATTTAAAATAGATGCTGATGTAGAGACAAGAATAATCATTATTGGATGTATCAATTTATAACTTTATAATATACTTTCAGAGATGAATCATAGAATCATAGAATGGTTTGGGTTGGAAGAAACCTTTAAGATCATCTAGTTCCAACCCGCAGCTATAGACAAGGACACCTCCTTATAGACCAGGTTGTTTAAAGCCCCATCCAGCCTGGCTTTGAATGCCTGCAGGGTGGGAGCATCTACAACCTTGCTGAAAAACATGTTCCAGTGTCTCAACACCCTCACAGTCAAGAATTTCTTCCTAATATCTACTTTAAATCTACCCTCTTCCAGTTTAAAACCATTTCCCTTTGTCCTGTCACTACACACACTTATAAAAAATCCCTCCTCAGCTTTCCTGTAGGCCCCCTTCAGGTACTGGAAAGCCGCTATATGGTCCCCAAATAAGCCCTCTTGTTTCTAGGTTGAAGAGGCTGAAAAGCCCCAGCTCTCTTAGCCTGTCCTTGTAGGGGAGGTGCTCCAGCCCTCTGATGATCTCTGTAGCCCTTCTCTGGTCCCTCTCCAACAGCTCCTTTTCCTTCTTGTGTTGGGTGACTCTGAACTGGCTGCAATACTACAGATGGGGTCTCATGGGAGCAGAGTAGAGGGGCAGAATCACTTCCGTGGAACTGCTGGTCACAATTCTCTTGATACAACTCAGGATATAGTTGGTGTTCTGGGCTGCAAATACATATTGCCGTCTCATGTTGAGCCTTTCATCAACTGACACCCCCAAATCTTTCTCCTCGGGGCTGCACTAAAGCCATTCTCCACTCTACCTGTATCTGCGCTTGGAATTGCCCCAAACCAGGTGCAGGACCTCAGGATGGCATCCCTTCCCTCTAGCATGTCAACTGCACCACTCAGCTTGGTGTTATCTGCAAACTTGCTGAGGGTGAACTTGATCCACATTGTCTACAAAGATGTTAAATAACACTAGTCCCAGTACTGATCCCTGAGGAATGCCACTCATCACTGTTCTCTACTTGGACATCGAGCCATTGACTGCAACTCTGAGTGAGACCATCCAACCAGTGCTTTATCTAGTGATTGTTCCATTCATCAAATCCATTTTTCTCCAGAACATCATGCGGGGTACTGTCAAATGCTTTGCACAAGTCCAGGAAGATGATGTCAGTTTCTTCATCCACTGAGGCTGTAGCTCCATCATAAAAGGCCTGTAAGAAATATTGAAATAATGCTTTGCATCCTCATCAAACTCACACATGATGCTGAAATTAAGCTAAGGTTGAAATGTCGTTTTCAAACAATTCTGTATTTTTCAATTCTCTTAGTAAACAGAAGAAGCTAGTAGAAATACGTTCTAGTATAACATATTGTATGGGAACTGCTGAGTCACAGCCTGAACCTCTGATTAATC